CTGGGCCGGACACACAACATGGACCGAACAAAGGCTGAGGGCAGTTGGGCGCTGGTAACCACCACAGGCCCTGGGCCTGTTTTCTTTGGACTGAGTCTCAGCCTCGTGGGGCCTACTAGAAGCTTCTGGGCCGGGGCCCAGTACCGCATACCGCATGCAGCAGCAGGCCACTTCGATATATGGAAGGGCCTGCCCACGCATTGGACATTCGGGCACTGGCTGCATGCTGCGCTAACGCTGGCCGGTGCTCACGCGCTCACGGGCGAGCTGGAAGGAGCAGGCAGCCATAGCCGAGCTGCGGTGCTGTATGCTGGATGGGGCGCATGGTGGTTCTTGGGTGCAAGTGGCATCTGTGAGTTGGGATCGAGGTTGTGAGTGATACGAGAGACATACCTGGCGCTTGAGGCGAACGACATTGGCCGAGATCTGCTCGTACTTAGGGGAGCTGTTGACGTCATCGGCGACATTATAGATAGGCTAGATAGGATCTGCCATCTGTAGTCTGGGCGCCGAGCGCCAGATAGGATATCGACATTGGTTCTTCGTTGATGATGATGAGACTATTCTAGCATTATCAATTATGAGTTTTTGCTGTGCTCTTATTTGGTGAAACTCGTGATGCAATTATGCTATTGGTTCGAGGTCACGACTATTTGGTCTCATGTGATGCCGTTTGATTTCTTCGCTATCGCTCATTTTCCTTGCAATTTGGTATCGGAGTTGTGGTTACGGTGCACTCATCTGACGCTTGTCTTCTGCCTATGCGGTACATGCATGCGGTCTGCTAAGTGAGCGGCCCTAGGGAGTGTGTAGTGAGGAGGGCGAAGGCAAGCAGGTGACCCACATGGAGAGGGGATCGCCAGGAAGGCTATGTGGGGATTATTGGGTGTTCGCAGTGTGATGAGAACTATCTGATGTGTGATTGATGCGGAGGTGGAACGACGATGCAATGCTGGTTGTGCCGAAGCAGCGATTGGTCATCACAATCAACATCGGGTCATCTGGTGAGAATATCTGTGGTTGGGGGCAGCTATTTTGAGGTTCGTTGCACCTAACCTTATCTACCCTCTTCGACACTTCTTACCGTGAGGATGTGTGTTCTGTTTTGAGAGTCCTCTTATGTGAGGAGTCGTGTGCGCTCAACCTTGAGAGTCGTCAGTCTTCACGTGGAGCATCTGGAAGGAGAGGGCGGTGCTATCTGAAGGGCCCTGGATGAAGCACTGGGTCACGGTCACCATGCCAACCCGCCGGGAGTCGAGCACGCATGCTTTGCTGCTTTGTCCTTTGTTTGCTCGCTGCGCTGTAGAGGGGTTCTGAGGGGCAGGCCATCCCTACAGGAAGGACGAGTACCGGACGTCTATAAATAAGTATCGGTGGGGGCCTTCCATTGGCGATGTTAAATAATTCCTGAGGACTTCGGGGGCCGTCCATAAAAATGCCTCCTGATCAGTCAATCGGTCGGTGTAAGGCTCGCTGCACGCGAGGATAAATACGGTGCAGGGCTGGCCAGCTCAACAGGACTTGGGGCACAGGGGTGGGCCGTGTGCACACCTTTAGACACACACGCTGTTCCGGATTGCTCAGGGACGTTGACGACAAGGGACATTCAGGAAGAACTGAGGGAGGGGTAGATTCCATGTGATAAGTTTGGACAAGATTCCATTCTGCAAACAGACCCAACAAATGATTCTATTTTCATTTGGATTAGTTAGATGTACAACCATTAACATTTGACAGACAACATAGTTAGAACTGTTTTTTGTTCATTGTGCTTTCGATTTGCGAATTAGTCAAAGTCAAAGTAGTTTCGTTTGTAGGAATCTGAACTTACCTGTTGGACCCAACTGTTTAGTCTCTGACACAACCACCGATTATTTATTTTATTTATTTTAAATCGGTCTGTACATTATGTTGCGGTAGGCATCAAGAGTGACCTAGTGTAGGCAGTGTACAGTGTTGTAGCCTATGAGCGACGCGGAGGAACCTAGAGAGGACGACCGGATCCTGCGATCAACGAGACGCCCGATAGCCCACTTGGCATTAGGACCAGAGGGCGACAAACACCTATTCCGCCAGAAGAGGGAGAGACAGCAGAAGCAGCGGAGGGTTAGGGCCGCAGAGGCAAGCAGAGCATTCGCAAGCGAGGCCGCTACCTCAGCTGCCATGGCATCTGCCGCATAGGAGAGCTCTCAATTTAGTAGTTCAGGTTTTGTAGGGTCTACTGTCGCACAGACCATGAGTCAGTCCACTGGCTTCATGGCAAGCCAGCTTATAGTGTTGACCCCCAAGGAGGTCGCGATACAACGAGCAACAATTCGCGAGGCACAACTACAATAGGCGTTAGGAGAGATTAAGGCAGAGAAAGAGAAGATGATTAGAAGAAGAGCCAGGATGCAGCGGAGATAAGCAGACGTGAGTGAGTTAGAGGGAATGGACCTGACGCACATGGATGCAGATATGAGGACATTGAGGACAGTTCTGCTAGGCGTAGTAGAAATGCAGGACCACCACACGGCCCTCCTTCATGATATACAACAGAGCCTGGCCGTTCTGGTTGGGCGAGCACAGACAAGTCCATTACCGTTCGGGCCTGGTGCCTGGCCCATCGTACAACCTCCTCCTTTTGTCCCACCAGTGACTGGGGTATCCCCATATGCCACTCGAGCATCGGTCCAAGGCGCTTCCCTAGGCATGCCGTTGAAAGGAGGGTTTTCAGCAAGACCTAGTGTACAGATTCCAGTACAGACAGTGTTTTCCCAACCTCCGTCGCAGGTTGCCGTAAGCGGGCAGCTTGTTGTCTTGCAGCTTGCACAAGCGCAGGGTACACAGCCCCAGCGCCTCAGGGTCCACAACCCGGGATGGTGCAGTTACCGGGACAAACTCAATGGGTTCCCAAGACTGCCATCGCCTCTCCCAAACATTTTTCAAGGGACAAGAGGGGCGAAGACGTCGACACATGGTTGAGGTCAGTGCCAATCTACGTCAAGTCAAGTGTAAACTTACCTTGCCACACGAGGAAGTGCTTGTGGCTGCCTCCTATTTAGAGGGGAGTGCAGCAAGATGGTTGAGTGGTTTAGTGGAGTTATAGGGATACGGTCATGACTTCCGCGCTTGGGCAGCCAACCAGAAACCGGACGACTTCCTCAAGATGGTGGAAGACAGGTGGCATGATCCTCAGGAGGCTCAAAAAGCCACTGACGCGATCCTGACTCTGAACCGTAGATAGTTCAAGTCAGTAAGAGAGGCCACATATGCAGTAGAGTGTCTGATCTGTGTCCCTGGAGTGCACTATGACCCCCAGGTATTACTCACCTCCCACCTGAGATGTTTTCCTATGCCTCTCAGGAATCAGTTGGCAGGTGAGGCCAACATCGACAAGCACAACTTCCCCTCGTTCAACAAGAAGACCCTAGACCTAGAACCAAAGATAGGGCATGGACAAACACCCACGACCAATGGCAGGAAAAAGTCATTGCCGCCCAACTGGAAGGCCAAAGGCCG